CAATTTGAGGACAGTTTGTGACTTAATCTACGTGGCTGGAACAGTTAATGTCTAGGCTCATTACTCTATTTGTTCTCTCCCCTCCCACTGGGCAAATTTAGCTTGCCTTAACCTAACCGCTCAGCACAGTGTGCACGGAGATTGATCTTTCCCAAGCATTCCTTTCATCCTGGTCTTCCAATGGCTTTTCACCTGCAGGATAGATTGTAACCTTCTCAACGGCTCAGCTCGATAGTCTCTCCCCATCCTGCTCTTCCCATAGCATCTCCTGCTTAGTCCCTCCCATACGAACATTTTATTTCAGGCAATTTTGTCTTATCAACTATTCATAGTTGTGCATCCATCACCACAATCAATTTTAGAACGTTTCATTACCCCCAAAAGAAACCCCACAGACCCCTTATCCATCCCCCTGACTAATCCCTCCACCCCCTCCAACCCTAGGCAAACACTAATCTGCTTTTTGTCTCTATAGATTTGCCCGTTCTGGACATTTCATGTGAATGGACTCATACAGTATGTGTCCTTTTGCATCTGTTTTTTTTCCCACTTAATATAGTGTTTTCGAGGCTCATTCACGTATCAGCACTTATTCCTTTTTATAGCTGAATAGTATTCTACTGTGAGGATGTACCACAATTTGTTTATTCACCAGTTAATGGATGCTTGGGCTGTGTCAGCTATTATAACTAATGCTGGTATGAACATTCATGTGCACGTTTTTGTGTGGACATATGGCTTCATTTCTCTTCAGTATAAGCCTAGAAGTAGAGTTGTTGGGTCCTATGGTAACTCTGTGTCTAACTTTCGAGGAATGGCCAAACGGCCCCAAAGCACCTGCACCCTTTTGCGTTCCCGCCAGCAGGGCGAGGGCTCCAGCTTCTCCACCTCCTCGCCAACGCTCGTTCTTGCCTGTCTTCTTGATCGCAGCCATCCTAGTAGGTATAAAGGGATATCTTACGGTGGCTTTGGTTTGCATTTCCTTGATGACTAATGACGTTGAGCATCTTTCCATGTACTTGTCAGCCATTTATGTATCTTCTTTAAAGAAATGTCGACTCAGATCGCCTTCCCGCTCGTTAATTGGGTTATTTGTATTTCTATTGTTGAATTGTAAAATTCTTTATAATGATAATTCCTTATCAGATACGTGATTTGCAGGTATTTTTTCCCGTCTGTGGGTTGGCTTTTCACTTCCTTGATAGTAGCCTTTAAAGCACAAATGCTTTTAATTTTGATGAAGCCCAGTTTACCTCTTTCTTCTTTTGTTGCCTGTGCTTTTGGTATCGCATCTAAGGAACGATTGCTAATCAGGGTTACAAAGACACACCATAAGCTTTTTAAAAGCAATCGTATTTTTAATAACCCTACAAGGAAAGGGTAGCAGACCCATTTCACAGGTGAGAAAACGAAGAGGTCAAATGCCAGAGCTGGGATTTAAGCCCCGTTTAACCTGACTCTGAACCTCATGTATATCTAACGGTGACTCCACCCAAGTCCCTTTACCCTTTACCTCAGTGTCCCTCACAGGGCTTGGCACAGTGCCTGGTGCCCAGCAAGCCCCTGGGTAATAAACACTGGATGGCTGAATGGCAGGTCCCAGCAGGTGCTCCGTCTGCACTTGCTGGTTGCTTTGGGCGGATGGGGGTTTGCTGCTGACTATAGGTTTGTGTCTGTAGTGCTAGAGTCACTGAGTGTCTCTCTTCTCTCACCTCTGCAGTGTCTCATCGTTGGGGGAGGACCATGTGGCTTGCGCACTGCCATTGAACTTGCCTACCTGGGGGCCAAAGTGGTCGTGGTGGAGAAAAGGGACACCTTCTCCCGCAACAACGTGCTGCACCTCTGGCCTTTTACCATCCATGACCTGCGGGGCCTGGGAGCCAAGAAGTTCTACGGGAAGTTCTGTGCTGGCTCCATTGACCACATCAGTGAGTAGAGCCAATGGTAGCACCTGGGAGGGGGAGGGGCTGACCTTGGAACACATCTCTCCACATTGAAGAGTCCCCGGGATGTTTCATCTTGAAAGTCCCTGGGGGCTCCACACATCCAACTGGCAGATATTTAGTGAAGGGCCTGCTTTGTGCCTTGTGCCAGGCCCTATGCTAAGCCCCACCAAGCTGTAAGCACTGTGAGATCAGGGACTGTGGCATGTCTTGTTCACCAGAGTATCTCCAGAGCATAAAAGAATGCTTAACACATAGTAGGTGCTCAATAAACTTCTGTTGAGTGAATGAATGAAATATGGAGAACCGAGGCAGAGGTAAGTAACACACCCTGCAGTCTTAAAGAACTCACCGAGGTTTTGTCAATAATGAAATGTGCTTTAATAGAGTAGTCAGACTTGCTAGAGGAGTTCAGAAGAGGGAGCCCCACAAAATCATTAAATGGGCCCGGTCATTGAGGGCCTTTTGGGAGTATTGCCAGTGTGGGGGAACCATGGAAGCTTTAGGACAGAGGAATGACACAACTGACAGATCCCACACCAAGCTTCTTTGAGCTTTAAAAAGAGAGAGGACATCATGATGGGGGTCATTCAGAAAAGGAGGGAAATAGAGGACGTGGGTTGTAGGTCCTGGCCATCCCTGAATGCTTAGGAAGGGCGAGGTGAGACTGATGCCCTTCTGCTCAGATATTACTCAAGCCCAGGTCTCTTGAGGCAGTATCTGTGCAGATGGGCTTTGGGAGAGCACCTCCCTCCCATAAAGAAAGGAGATCTTTAGCCATTTCACATATAGCATCAGTGACTCATAAAAGTTAGGGAGGTTAATACTATGGGGTGAGTTCAAGGGTTTGAACAGATTTGGGTCCAAAATCTGTCTTGCCCATTTTTCTGTGTGACTTGGGCCAAATTCCTTAACTTCTTCAAAGCCCCAGTTTTGTCTCCCATAAATGTGATGAATGCTGCCTACCAGGATTGCTGAGAGGATTAAACAAGGTCAAGTTTGTAATATGCTGATCACTGTACCTGGTGCATAGTAGATACTCAGGAAATGCTGAACATCTATGATGTGCAGTGAGCCAGAAGCAGCCAGGGTTCCCAAGCTTCAGAATTCAGAATTCGAAACATGGCTGGGAGGAGAATCCTGAAAACTGTATTTTTATGAGGACAAGAACTGATGGGAAATGGGTATGGGATTCAAATGGGAATGACTGGCGAGAATTATCAGCTACATAGGGTGTAATTTAGTAAGTTGCAAGAGAACTTACCAGAAGCGGCCCAGAGTTTATTCTCGCTCTGACATGAGAAAATTCCATGAGTCCATTGGAAAGTAATTTGGATTTGCCCAGAAAGTTGCAGTGTCAGCTTTCAAGATGTTCTCTACCACCCATTGAAAGAATGTAGGTTGGTTACCAATTTAGAACAACATTGAACACCACTTTCTCATCAAACCCTCCTGAGAGGCAGAGCTGGGCACTGGGAGGCCTGGGACGGCCCCAAGGCTGTTGGGGTGCCTTCTAGGCCAGGAGCCCCTCTCTGCTCCCAATTAACTCCTAGTCCTTGGAACTATCCCAGTGTGCAGAGGGTCTGGCAGAATCACAGAACCGAGACTCAAACATTCAGAGTGATCATTGCGAAGGGCAGCCCCCGTACCTGTGAGAAGGGGGGCAGGGAGAATTTATTGAGCACCTAATGTGTGCTGGAAACATATAGCCTAGGAACCTTGAAACTGTAAGGAGAGGCCAGGCCTCCCACAATGCCCGTTTCCAGGCAGGAGGTGGATTGAAGTCTTTAAGCCCCAGCTGATTGGCTTTCTTTCAGACCGACCGTGGTCCCCAGCCCAGCTGTGTCCTGGACTTCAGCATTGCTCAGCAGTTCTCAACTTGTCCTGTGTCAGCATCTTCCTCCAGTTCCCACCGTGGCTGCTCCAAGCCCCCACCACAGCCTCCTGATTCTTAGCAGATGGCCTCCCTCCTATGCTCTGGGGAAAAGAAGCCACTGGCAGGCACTCCCCGTTCCAGCCCCTCTCCTTCCCCCTCCGCCCAAGCACCCATTCCTTCCTTTCAACCCAAGAGCTGACCACCTCCTCTCTACTCTAGTCCCTCTTGGATTCCTTCTCTTCTTTTCACCTGCCCCACCACTTAGTCTTCCTGCCGCTCACCTCGCACTGCCCCTCTAGCCCTCTGTTATTGCCCATTACTTTTCTTTACTTCTGGGTATTTATTCTAGAAAGAAGAGGTGTAGACTTTGTCTGTACTTTCCATTCATGCCTCCATGCCCTGCCCCATTCTGTTGACCTGTGTTTCCTCCATTAGAGGGGGTGTTCCATGTCCCCTGGACCTAGCATGGCACCTGGCACCTTATAGATGTTCAAAAAATGTTACATGAGCAAAGCCCATGAAATACAGAGGGACCCAGAGAAAGTTTGAAACTGCACTCTACAGGAATATATGTGGAGGCAACCCTTTTTTATGCTGAATAGTAGGGAACAAAATAGAGAAACAAGGTGCCACACATAGAGGGAGTTTCAGAGAGTGGGTAGGAGGTTGAGAACCATAAGCCCAGCTTTGTGGAGAGAGCTCCCCGCCTCACCCCTTTCCCTGGATGGCTAGGAGCTTAGGCCTAGATCCCCACAGAATGAGCCATTTGATGGCTGACTTTACTTAGGGTCTTTTATCCCCCCCCCTCTTCTTTCCATCTTTATCTTACCAAACCACAGCCCAGCTGAGGCAGGAGGCAGGAAAGAGAGAACCTCCATCATTATAGCACTAACAGCTAGAGCACAGTGTTACAATCAGACACAGCTGGGGCCATTCCAGTTTTACTGCCGTGTGACCCTGAGCAGGTCACTTAGCTTCATTAACCCTGAATTTCTCATTTATAAAATGAGAATAATTATCCCAAAGGGGCACTGTAAGGGTTAAATGACAAAACAGAGTACTTGACACATGATTAGTGCCCAATAATGATCATTATTGATGTATTGCTATGCTCAGAGATCATTGAGCAGTGATTATATAGTATTCTATATACAGGAGGCACCCAGGCATTGCTACTGACAGCTCATCTCTCCTTCCCTTCCTTTCTGACAGGTATTCGTCAGTTACAGCTCATCCTATTCAAGGTGGCCCTGATACTGGGAGTTGAAATCCATGTGAATGTGGAGTTTGTGAAGGTTTTAGAGCCTCCTGAAGATCAAGAAAACCACAGTACAGTATAACTTTCCTCTTCTGTCTAGAAATCAGATATTGAAAATTGGAAATGAAGTTTGCAGCTCTCAAAGGATGTTTCTGTGACAGTTATTCTTATCTGGAGCTGTTTGGCATAATTTTATCAGTGGATATTTTACCCTTTTTGACCATTGCTATCACTTTAGGTTTGCTCTTCAGCTCCCAGGGAATATATTATCAAGTCATTAAGCCTGTAATTTGATTACCCTGCCAGTAGGAGGTGGTACTTTGACAAATGAAGTCAAATCAGGAAGTAGGACAGAAGACCGATTTGGTTGTCTGATAAAGTTCATTCCCTGCTTTTTGGGTTGTTTGTGTATACACACAGATATGTGGACACATTTGTTGTACCCATATGATATTTTTGAAGTCTAGTAAATAATGTGAAGTTTCTAGGGGAAATATGAAATAAATATTCAAAATATTATTTGATATATAACATTTTTAAGCTTTATTGAAGTATAATTTACAAATCATAAAGTTCACCCATTGTAGTTATGTCTTCTTTAGCAGTCCCTCCCCCCCATTTTTAGTATGTTTATGTAAATTCTGATTTTGTATATACACCAGAGGGTTTGTTTATGATGCTTCTGCATCTTACTTATCAAAATCTCCTGCCTGGTCAAGTCTTTCAGTTTTGAACCAGATAGTGTTGGAGACCCCATAGTTTCACACACAGGCTACAACTCTGATTTCTCCTGTCTTAGCCCAGAATATGGGGAACTTAGGGGAGGCATCAGTTGGCTTTTGTAGCTGGGCGTCCATTAAACTTTCAGAGACCTGTGTGCTCTTAATCTCTCCCAGACCTCCAGTGGATGTTAAATTCTGAGTGACCAGAGAAGACTGTGTGCTGCACAGTGGGGCATTTTGAGCATAATGAAGTAGGAATTCAAATGGTTTCATTACACCCTGCACATCCTTTTGGATCTGTTTAGCAGTGGGAGGGCACTGGGGAATGCGAGGAATATGAAGGGAACACCGTAGAATCTGCTCAGTAAAAGAAGGTGCAGGTGAGACTGGTTCGAGAATCATTGAGCGTAGACTCCCAGCCTTTATAGAAATCAGCAAAACCAGGCACGGAGTTGGCGCTGCTGGTTTACTTCATCTTGGATTGAACTAAAACTAAAGCCAAAAGGACTCCAGATTCCATGTGAATCTAGGCAGTTCTAGGTCTTTCCTCTAGAGGCTCTGTCTGGAGTGCCTATACTAGTGGCATTGTCCATTTCTCATGGCCAACATGGGGGGGGCGGGTAATAATCACTCTTGCTTCCACCATTCTCTGTGCCAACTCATCTCATTTTTCTGTCCCTGTAGAAATTGGCTGGAGGGCAGAATTTCTCCCTGCAGACCACTCCCTGTCGGAGTTTGAGTTTGATGTCATCATTGGTGCCGATGGCCGCAGGAACACATTGGAAGGTGAAGACTCTTCTTTTTGGGGCTGAGGATGGGGAGACAGGAGTGGGAGGGGGTGTATCTGGAAGGGAGAAGAGGGAGCAAGGTGACAGGTGCCAAAATTAGAGGGGTTCTTGATAGAAGGGCACACCGCCCTGTTGTGCATGAGGTGAATGTTTAGAGAGCAGCCATTTAATTCTCTCTGAAACTCAATTTTTCCAGCTGTAAAATGTGAAAAATAGAGCCCCATTAGAGCATAGTTATAAGGACTGGGAAAGGACTCTATGTAAAAATGCTTCCATAAGGTTAAGTGCCATGGAAATTAAAATAAAAAATCAACATACATTTATTGAGCACCTGCCAATGTTCAAGCCATGATGCGAAGCACTTTCCTACTCACTTCATCTAAGATAGGCATTTTTATACTATTAATGGCATCAGTTTACTGTCCAGGATAACACTCCAGAGGAGGAGCCCATCTCTTTTCATGACTTTTAAGTACATTCACTGCTGGGCAGTAAGGTGAGTTTTGCCGAAAGTGTCAAGGTGCAAAACTGCTTCTCTGTTGTAAATTCGGAAACACAACATATTGCCTTGGGCTAGGATCTAAGTTGAGAGAGAAACCTCAATGCCATGAAAAACCTTCAGTCACCTGCACCCCAGCCCCAAGATTAACTGGTGCACAGGCTGAACTGACTTGCACTAACTGTACTCATTTGAGACCATAGGTTGTGGGTAAAGTAGTCTCATGTGGCATCTTTTTGGCTAGCACAGGTCTGCTTTTCAATCTTGACAGGTGTCTGATGGGGAAGGCACCTTCTCTGAGGATGAAACAGACTCCCTGAAATAGGGCTGATCCGAGAAAATTCAGGAGTTGGGGCTGGCTAGCTGAGGCCCTTTCCACCTGCTATTCAAACAGTGCTTTTCCTCTCTCTTCACCTCCATACCTCTTCCCCGCCCACTGCAACCAATAACCAATATCTGACAAGGAATGTTTAAGCTGCCAACCTGAATGTTGTGCTGTTTAGAGTTTATGGGCCGTTCTGGTGGTGTGAGGGCACTGTGAGTCTGAAATTTGAAAATTCAGGATTCGTGCTCAGCTTGAGTGTATTTTGGCGTTTTGTGAACATGAAGGGCAGGGAGGGAAGGAGGAGCCATCTGAGCAACTTGGGACCAAGTAAGTAGACCAGAGCAGGGACTCTTGATCAGCAATGTTGACATTTTGGGCCAGGTAATTCTTTGTCATGGGTGCTGTCCCCAAGACATTATGGGATGCTTAGTGACATCCCTGACCTCTACCCACTAGACACCAGTAGTACCCCAGTTGTGGCAACCAGAAATGTCTCAACACTTTGCCAAATGCCCCTGGGGGACAAAATCACCCCTGTTAAGAAATACTGATCTAGAGAATAAGGCCACTTCTGACCATTTTTGACAATGGTTTAATGAAGGATGACTCATAGGACTGGGCCCAGAGTAGAAACCCAAGATTTTTTGTTAAAGGGATTTATATATATATCTTTATTGATTACAGAGAGAGAAAAGGAGAGGGAGAGAGAGAGATAGAAACATCAATGATGAGAGAGTCATTGATTGGCTGCCTCCTGCATGCCCTGACTGGGAATCGAGCCCACAACCTGGACATGTGCCCTGACAGGGAATCGAACCCCGATCTCCTGGATCCTAGGTCGACACTCAACTGCTCATCCATGCCCGGCCAGGCTAGTTAAAGGGATTTTTGACAAAGCAGTTTGGGAATCAGCATGAGGCTCGATGATATGGTGAGGGAATGTGAGGGCGATTCCCACAGGTGGCTGAAGACAAAGGTCATGTCCAGCACATCTGCTAGGAAGAGTGCCCTGAGTTAAAGTAAACAGCAGCCTGGGGCAGAGGGGAAATTCAGGGCTGTAGGAAGAGTCAGATGCTAAAAAGAAAGGGGATTAGAAAGTGGTCTGTGGAGATGTGGCCGCCCGCTTGCTTTATAATTAGGAATGTATATTTGGTCTCATCCCTGTCTTGCACAGATCTCCCAAAACCCTTGGAATTTCCTGAGTGATAAGAGCAATGGGAGCATTTTCTGTTATAATATTTGGTCTCTTGTCCTCAGTTCCTGAAATACCTTCAGAGACATAAAGGTGAAATTGGTGCCTTTTATGCATAATAGGCCGATTTATGAGGTGACTTTTGGAAATCAGGGGAGCCCGCCACATGATTAGAGGGTTGGAACCTTCACCGCCTGACCTCCTGGGAGGGGGAGGGGGATGGAGACTGAGTTCAGTCACCAGGGCCCAGAGATTTACCCAGTCATGCCTATGTAATGAAGCCTTGAAAAAGCCCCAAAGGAAGAGTGTTCGGAGAGCTGCTGTGTTGGTGAACAGGTGGATGTTTGGGAGAGCAGCGCGCTCTGAGAGGGCTTGGGAGGCCCACGCACTTTCCCCATCCCTTGCCCTATGCGTTTCTCTATCAGTTGTTCCTGAGCTACCCACTAAGTCAGATGTTTCTCTGCATTCTGTGAGCTCTAGAAATTAATCTAACCCAAGCAAGGCATCCTTGGAACCTCCAGACTATAGCTGGTTGGTCAGAAACATAGGCTTGCAATTGGTATGTGAAGTGCAGGGCAGTCTTGTGAGACTGAGCCCTTCACCTGTGTCATCTGGGTAGACAGTGTCAGAATTGGATGAATTGTAGAACCTCCAGCTGGTGTCCTAGACTTGCTTGTTGGTGTGTGTGTGTGTGTGGGGGGGGGGAACCCACATTGTAATTGGGTACAGAATTCTTACTGCCATTAAAAAGAAATTTCATTGTAAACCACTGTACTATGTTAATTGCAAATTAGAATGCCATCTGTTTATTATACACCTACTGAGTGTGTGCTAAGTGCTGGCCACTGGACTTGAGATAGAAAGAACATTTGTTAATGTTCCTGTCCCCAGGTATTCAGTCCCATAACCCTACTTTTCAAAGGGGAAAAAAAAAACAGACAAACCATGAAAATGCTAACAAAGTGGTTTTAATTGTATAAGTCCACAGTGCATGTGGGTCTTACACATCTTGAGCAGGGTGGGCCTGTGAGTGGCTATTGGAGAAGATCACTTTAGCCTTTGTTCGTCGAAGCCTAACCAGAATAATGGGCACGTAGGTTTTAGAGAAGGAGAAACCCTCGCTGACTTAGCAAGGCCTCTGGTGGTCGGTGTCTTCCTTGGGCGCAGAGCTTGGCACTGCCACCTGCCCCTTCTTTCCAGAGATCCAGAATTCTGCTTTTATTGACCTGTGGGGTGTCGGAGAGCAGCTTTCTCAGTAATCTTTTCCAGTTTTCACACCAGATTCAGAACACAGACCCACTCCTTCCCCTTGCCTTCTGCAGGGTTCAGGAGGAAAGAGTTCCGTGGGAAGCTGGCTATTGCCATCACCGCCAACTTCATAAACAGAAACAGCACAGCCGAGGCCAAGGTGGAGGAGATCAGTGGCGTGGCTTTCATCTTCAATCAGAAATTCTTCCAGGACCTTAAAGAAGAAACAGGTGAGACTGCCACCTTTCTCCAGGCCATTGTCACTTCCTAAAGTGCCCCGAGGGGCTGCTGACTGTCCCAGCTCTTGGGACTGGGATACCCACTCTGATTAAATGAAAGCAGGGATTTCTCCTTAAGATAATAATGGGCAGGATTCCTTCGAGGACAAGAGGGATTCTTCACAGAGAGTTCTAAATGTTGTACGTGACTATGGACACATTTGTTTACTCAGGAAGCATTTATTGAATGCCCATTGTGTGTTGGTACTGAATATCGTGGGATATAAAGTTGAGGTTGACAGTGTCCCCACCCGAGTGGCTCCTGTCCAGGGAGGGACACCCACAATTAACCATCCTCGTGCAGGCTGGTCAGGCTATGTGGAGATCAGTGTGAGATTCAGGGAGCTCTCTGAGTGGGGAGCCAGTAACCTGTGGGTGGTCCCTGAAGAAGCCTCAGTGTGTTTGTGCAGCATATCAGGTGCCCTTTCCAGTAATTTTTCACCTGCATCCCTACTTTTTGCATGGATCTAGCTCTCATTCTCGTGCCAACACTCTTTGTTATTCTGCTTTTCTCATTCAGCATAACCTTTTAAATATTGTCCCTATGGCTACCTAGTCATCCTGATGGTCAGTTTTGGCAGAACAGCTTTCAGTGGATGTATTGTCACTGCTTAAAGCATTTAAACCATGGGGTGGCAAGCTGGCTGGCCACATGTTTTTGTATTGCCTTTGAGCAAAGAATCATTTTAATATCTTTAAGTGGCTGAAGAAAAATCATAAGAAGACTATTTTGTGACAAATTGAAAGTTGTATGTAATTCAAGTTTCAGTGTCTGAAAATAAAGGTCTGTGGGAGTGCAGCACGCCGATGTGTGTATGTTGCTGCCTGTGGCTGTGACACAAACCAGAGGGCTCACGGAGCCCAAAGTATTACCGTCTGGCCCCTTACAGAGAAAGGTTGCTGACTTCTGATTTAAACCTTTCAGTTATTTACTGTTGCAGCTAAAACTGCTTCTGTCAGATTATTTTGTTAAGATAGTTTTCTAGGAATGGGATTCGTTATCGAGCCAGACTCTGCCTCTCCCTGGCCACAGTGACGTGTGCCCATTCCATGACCCTCTGAAATTCAGCACGGTTGCATTTTTTTTAAGTATTTCCTTCCAGTATATTATGTCCCTTTGAGTAATTTAAGAATTTTCCAACTCTCCCTTCCCCTCAAAAACCAAGAAAATAAGTACTTAAATAAACCATCAGCTGTAAATTCTGACAGGACATTGGGCGTGTTTTCCCAAATGTTTGAACGAGCTTCCTTTAGACTTGGCTATGGTCGTCACCTTTGGCCATTGTTTCACAACACCGCCCCTCACACAGTGACAGCGATGAATTTCCTCTGATTCTCTGGGGGGCCCTCTGCACTGATGGCTGTTTCCTATTTAATAGCAATAAAGGGGTTCCTATGGTTACGCAGCACGCCTCTGTGTGGACTGCTGATAAGTTGCCATGTCTCTCCCTCTCTCTCCCTTGGGGGAAGCTAGGCCAGTGCTTCTCAAACTCCAGCATGAGCCAGAATCACCCCCAGAGCTTCTGATTCAGTAGGCCTGGGTTGTGCCCTGGTCATTTCCATTCTAATACGTTCTCAGATGCTTCTGGCTGGGATGCCCACTTTGAGAACCACTGAACTAAGCTATTATCTCACGACGTTGTTTTAAATGCAGAAACCTAGTCTATAAAGTGTCTTTGCAATTGGTGGAAAGTGAAAAAAGACACAACCCAGCCCTTTCACCTGAGTAGCTCCTGCTGGGGCACCTGGGTTTTCACACACAGCCAGGAAATGGTAGAAGCATCGCTTAGCTGCGTTCGCTTGGGTCAGTTTTGGCACTCGGTTTTATCTTGGCCAGCCTCGTATGTCGCAAATCCTTTTCTAGTGTGAAAATGCTGCGGGTAAGTAAAGAGGCAAAGTAGAGCTCCTGGAGCACTGGGCACCAGGCAGCACTGAGCGCATGGACCCTTCTCTTTTCAGGGATCGATCTCGAAAACATTGTTTACTACAAGGACTGCACCCACTATTTTGTCATGACGGCCAAGAAGCAGAGCCTGCTCGACAAAGGTGTCATCATCAACGTACGTCTCTCTCGGCTGTTATGTCCTGTCTTTCCCTTTGTGACCGGGGCTGGCAGCATTGGCAAGTGTAGGAGCAGAAACTGAGCAAGGCGGGGAGGGGACAGGACTGCCACCCACCACTTTCCTTCTCCTTGGTGCTGCATGAACGAGCCCACACCAATGCACACAGAGGTGTTTCTGCAGAGAACTTGGGCGTTGGCGCTGAGTCCCTAACCCAAGTGTTAGTGTGTGTCTTGGCCCCCAGGAGATCATCTGAGTCTTTTCTTCCCCATATCTCCTTCAGCCCTGCCCTCTTTTCTGGGAGGTCATGGTCATTTAGAGGCAGATGGGGGCTTCTTGTCCTAGTGGGACATAGAGACACTTTTACTTGTTAATTGTGGCCCCCTTGTCATGGGAGGGTGGAAAGCTCTTGTAGGCAAAAAGACTTGAGCTGTGTCTTGGCTCTGCCACCTATTAACTCAGGACCGTGATTAGGCTGCCTGACCTTTCTGAACCTCAATCTTCTCGTCTGCAGAGTGGGAATAATAGTTTCTGCCTGAAAGGGTGGTTTGGGAGAGTACCTTTAAAAATGTATACAGAGCCCTGGCTGGTTTTTCTCAGTGGTTAGAGCATCAACCTGCCCATCAAAGAGTCTCGGGTTCAATTCCCAATCAAGGGCATGTACCTGGGCTGCAGGTTCGGTCCCTGGCCCCAGTGGGGGCAAATGCCGGAGGCAACCAATAGATGTGTCTCTGTCACATCAATGTTTCCCTCTTTCTCTCTCCCCCCTCCCCTTCCACTCTCTCTAAAAAAATTTTTTTTAAAGTCTTTGGGTGAGAGTTAAAAAAATAAAAATAAAAATGTTCGCAGAGCACCTGGCACCGCCCCTAGCATGCAGTGGATTGTAGGTTCCCGCTATACCTCTCCGCCTGCTTTGGGCAGCTGCTTTTCTGTTCTACTGACTTCCTGGCCTCTGTTTCCTGCCTCTGCATTTTCCTGCTTAAACAGAGAGCAGGGTTGGCAGGAAGGAGCATGGAGTGGCGAGTCCTGGGCTGGAAGCTACTTTGGCCAGGTATTCAACCTTTCCAGTGCCCCTGATCCTGCCACCGCTGCTGCTGCAGCCTCAAGATAAGGATCCTGCAGTCCAGGGTCAGCCTGCTCCCCAGTGTCGGCCTACAGCCCAAGCGGCATGGTGACCATTCATTGCTGCTTGTCGGAGAAGAATGTGCCCATCTTCTCGCCAGCTCATGCTGGCAGCGGCCGGATGGCGCTAGTAACCCAGCCCTCCCCTGGGCCTCCTCCACAGTGGCCAGGTCTTAGCTGAGAACCTGAGTTGCTGGGCGGGAGGTGCGCATGAGGGAGGGCCGTTGAATGAGGCTGACTGAGGACAACCAGCAGATGTGTGAGCGACGGGCTCAACATCTGGTGCCCCCCTGCTGCCCCGTCCGGGGAGGCAAAGCCTTCTTCCCTCTGCCCCATCGGCATTTCTCCCTAAGCTGCAACCTCTGCCAGGATGCCTGTGTCGGAGAGTGAAGGACTGTTTGGGGCCCATGGGTGCAGATGCAGTGGGTGCTTCCCACACGCCAGGCATCAGGCTGGGGATTTTACGTGGTCTCATTGGTCTCCCGTGGCTCTGTGAACTAAATTTTGTCATTCTCACTTTACAAGTAAGAAAATGGAAAGTCAGAGGAGTTTAATAAGTTGCCCAAATTTACGCAGCCAGTAAACAGCAGAGGCGGGATTTGACCTGTTGCTCCCAGGAAACCCCAAGGCCTGTGTTGATCTTATACACACTAGTCCCAGCCCCCCTCCCCCTCCCCCAGTGATGTGCACCTTGTATGTCACCTTTTGGGAAAGATAGTGTTTTAGTTTCTTTTGCTACATGATGAGCAGGTTAGACCCTGGGAGACAGGCATCCCACAGTTTACTGCCAGTGTCCCTCCAGGATGGGTATCCTACCTTCTAGGCTCAGGTCCTCCACCCCCTGGTAGGAAGTATAGCAACTAATACTGCAAAAGAAAGCAGGTCCCCGAGTGGCCCTCAGCCTGTCGAGAAAAGGGGAAACTGATTTTGGAGAGAAAGTTTGAGTTATGGCAAGCACCCATTTCTTTTCTGGTCTTGTTTGACCACTAAACACCACATATCTGGACCACATCAGCTTAGCTTAGTTCATTATAAAAATCAGTCTTTCACTCACTCTTTTCTCTTTTAATTTTACTGAAGTTATCACGAGAACCAGCCATATGAAATATGCATCTCTGTTTGCTGCAAGACCATTATTATGTTCACTGTTCATTAGAACACCATGCTTTCTATTGAAACCCCTATGTGAAACAGTCCTTTTAAACTTACTGCCAGGAAGAATTTGCCTCCCCAAGGAATTTATGTGCTTCTTTCTTTCTGATAAAGAGAGAACTGTGATATGTCACATTTCCCTTTTGCCTTGGATGCCAGGAAGCTCCAAGCCAAATCTGAGGCTTAATCACAACTCTGCTAACTCCTACAGCTGGCTGATTCGGTTCCTCTTTCTTCGCTTGGCCCTGGTTTTCTGTTTATGCTTTGATTAGCCTCCCTGTACGCACCCCATTCCCAGTCCTGCGAGGGGGTGGGAATGAACCCTTGCCCTTGAGAGAGGCGGGCGGCTGCACTGTGCTCCTGTCCCCCCCCAGGACTACATCGACACAGAGATGCTGCTGTGCACAGAGAACGTGAACCAGGACAACCTGCTTGCCTATGCCCGCGAAGCCGCAGACTTCGCCACCAACTACCAGCTGCCGTCTTTAGACTTTGCCATGAACCATTACGGGCAGCCCGACGTGGCCATGTTCGACTTCACCTCCATGTACGCCTCGGAGAACGCGGCCCTGGTGCGCGAGCGTCAGTCCCACCAGCTGCTCGTGGCCCTGGTGGGCGACAGCTTGCTTGAGGTACCGCCTGCACTAGGAGCCCCCTCGCTCCCGCTGGAAGATAGGTCCCTGCGTTTCTGTTTGGCTGGCAGCGTCCACTGTGACGCAGCCGGGGCAGGACAGGTCCTCAGCCAGTCAGCAGGACCCCGCCAAGCCCACCAGAGCCTCAGGGCCAGCCCTTTCTCTAAATTCAGAGGAGCCAGTGCTGTCTCTATCAGCCAGAGAGCTGTCCCCTCCACCTCCGGGTTCTTCTGGGCTCACCTCTGTTGAAGTACAAACTTAGGTGGCCTGGTCTGGACTTCACGGCGCCCTTCTCAGAGCACGTGGACCCTCAGCTGGGCCAGGGTCCCGTCTTCATGTGATGGGTCTTTGTGGCCTTGCAACACTGAGATCACATAAGATGCAAGAAAGGCGTGTGGGCCCAAAGTCCAGGTTCTGTCCATGGTCTCCCTGCTCACAATTCTTCCCAGAAAATCAGCAAACGCTAGGCTCCTTAGGTTAAAGAAATGCTTTCAGAAGGGATACTTTTTCATCTTTAATGTAAGCACTAACCAAAATGTGTTTATGCATTTATCCCAAGTTAAGCATCAAATTCCAACCTATGCTTTGTGTGCGCATGGGACAGTTTAGTTAGCAGTGAGCTTGGTGAATCAGCCCTTGCTCACTATGGTGTGTGGGCTAGAACCGAAGCTCCTTGGCTAAGCACTCAGCTCCTCACCCCCACACCCCACTTTTCAGCCTCATGTACCTTCCTCCTTGATCTCTGCTATACCCAAACCAGACAGACTCTTCTTCCGTCAGGCTCCATCACTTTTCAGCCACCAAGATTAAAATGGATTAAAATCAGAATCCTATGCATTCTTTAAAATCAGCATAAATGCAGCTCTTTTATGAAGCAGTCCCTATTTCCCTCCCCCAAAGTGGGAGTTTCTCTGTGCCTTTTTTGAGCCCCAAAGCGGTTTTGCTGTTCCTGTGTCATCGGCCCTTTACATATGGCTTGTGCTGTGGATATCTGTATTTATGGTGAATCTTAGCAGCTGCCCTGCACCTCTCTAACCCCCAGTGCCTCACATGGGCCTGGCAATCAGAGACTGCTGGATAGAACAGGATAGCGGGCTGGGAGTTGTTAGAATCAACCCAAATTTTGCATGTTTTCTTTTGCAGCCCTTTTGGCCCATGGGCACAGGCTGTGCCCGCGGCTTCCTGGCGGCCTTTGACACAGCATGGATGGTGAAGAGCTGGGACCAGGGGGCTCCTCCTCTGGAGCTGCTGGCTGAAAGGTGAGAATGGGCAGCTGGGCTCCTGGCTGAGGCAGGAAAGGGAGCACAGCTGGCTGTTTGGTGGCACCTGGATAAAACCTCTGTCACCTATCATTGGCCTTCCCATACATGGCTTGATTTGATCGTTGGGGTCCCCAAGGAAACTTTCTCCATTATGATCTACCTCCTTCAATGACTTTCTCTGGGGGCCAGGACCTTGGGCCCCAGAGAAATTTTCATCCAGTGTGGCCCTGAAGTTGGAGTTCCAGCACTGCTCAGTTGCCCTGGGGCCCGAAGAAGTTCAGGGGAAGCTTCCATTGAAGTGCTGAGTGCCCCGCCATGTTGGGGGCTGGGTTCTCTGATCCCCCAGGCCTCTTCTGCTGCTGAGATCCTGAGCTTCCTCCCAGACCCCTGCTGTTGGCCATGTGGCTGTAATAGCTGGTGGACTGGGAGCGGTCAGGACTGGTGGGTGGGGATGGCTTTTGCTGGTCCTGGGTGTGGAGGCCTGTGGTCAGGGGGACAGGTCACAGGAGGCCGAGTGGCTGAGTGGCGGTTATAATAAAACCACAGGCCACTGTGCTGCCAGCTCTGCCTGGGGAGGTAGCCAACATCCCCACCTCCCAGACTCCTTCCTGCCTCCTCTCTGCCCCTTTGAACCCCCTGCACTTTGCAGGTCTCAAGAACCACAAGGGTCAGGCATTGCAGGGAAGGGTTATACAAACACATCTAAAGAGCCCTTGAGAGCAGGAGAAGGGGAGTGGGGGTGGGAACAAAGGCCTCAGGTTTCAAGAGTAATCCCTGACCCCATGCTCTGCCTCCCTCCAGAGAAAGTCTTTACCGCCTGTTACCTCAAACAACCCCAGAGAACATCAACAAGAACTTTGATCTGTACACGTTGGACCCTGGGACACGGTACCCAAACCTCAACTCCCACTGTGTCCGACCCCATCAGGTAAGTCCTTCCCTGAGACCTTGACTGGGTCACCTGGCACTGAGAGGTGAAAAGGAGAGGTCAACTGAAATGTTGGCACATCCCTGGGACCAAGGCCACCAATGCCTCTTGGCCCAAAGGTGGGACAAGTTCCTTTCTCTATGAGAGTCACAAGAGTAACATAGAGTCACAGGAGAGAATTGGAACACAAGTAAGAGTATGTCTACATTTGTACATATATTTACATATGTTTATTTGTCACTAGGTGTGTGTATTGTTAAGCATACGTCTCCAGATAATCTACTTGGCCAAATATTGAGTCCTTTCCATCACCATCCTAGAGTCTACTTTTTTCTCCCATTGACTCAGAGCCATACAACCTCTTCAGTCAATAATAGCACAAAGAGTGGTATGAATTTTAAAAATTAGCCAGTGACATATATTTACACTTGAGTGCTTCTGCATCTGGGTGAATAATTGAGATCCATTGTTCTGTGTCTCAGGTGGCCTGGGTTCCCTTGCTGAGGGTCCAACGGTAGAGGAAAAGGGCAGAGAGTAGGTCAGGTTCAGAGGCGCTGAGACTAGAATTTGGGGGAAAACTGGTGGGCAGCTGCGTGGTCTCTCTTGCTTGTAGGTGAAGCATTTGTACATCACTAAGGAGCTGCACCACTGCCCTCTCAAGAGGCTGGGTTCAGTGAGGAGATCTGTCGGCCTCTCCAGGAAGGGTAAGCTACCCTCCTGGGACCCACTGGGAGGGGCTTTGTGGGGAGGAGGCCTACCAGGTGGCCATGGGGGCACAGATGACCTAGGTGACCTTGGCCAGGCTCCTTGTCTCTGTACTTCAGTTCCCTCTTCTGTAAAACCAGGACAATGACACCCCTACGGTATTATCACCGTCAGGGAGTTAATATGTGTGGAGCCCTTGACACATTAAAGTGAACTGCAGAATTGCTTCACTGGGACTGACTTTTCTTTTCCTTTCATTTCCAGTGTGGGGTTCTGTCTCCCCAGCTGGATACCAGGCTCCATGTGCTCCACTCTTCCTGATCCCCCAGGGCCTGGCACAGTGCTGGGCACAGGCCAGTGCTCAGTAGTGGAGGGGGGCAGGGATGATTAAGTGAATAACTCTCTGGTATCCCTCAGGTTTTGCTCAGGTCACCATCCTGCTTAAAGACCTCTCTGGCCTCTGTCACCTGCCCAGATCTTGCGTCCTCCCTGCCTTTGGGACAACTCAACCTTACCAGCCACCCCTCCTTTCCCTCCACACCCCACATGCCCCACTGCTGCCACCCCTGTCGTCAGCCATTCTACACAAACACGGCTGGTTTCCCTAGGGCCTTTGCTGGCACAGGCCTTTCAGTCTTCCTGCAGTGCCTTCTTCTAGCTGATGAATTCCTAGACACTTTTCCAGAAGCAGCTCAAAAGCACCTCCTTTTTGACTCTCTTTGGCGAGTTCCGCAGCCCTGGCGACTCAGGACAAACCCGCTCACATGCTCCCTCAGCCACCTGCTTCTCCATCATTGCACCAACGTGTCATTGTCACCTGCACCTGTGTCTGTCTTCCCCGCTGGATAGCATGTTGGCAGAGTCCATGTCATCCTCATCTCTGTGGTCCAGAGGGGGTCTTAGGGACTCTGCTGCCGGAGAGCATGTCCCAGCATCCTGCCCTCCCTCCATGCTCTCGGCAGGGCCCCTTGCCTTGGTGCTGTTCCTCCTGGTCCCCAGCCGTGGTGGCAGTCAGAGGGGGGCCCCAGGGGACCCTGATGTTTCCCCCAGGGCACCTCACAGCCTGTCTTCCCTTACTGCAGAGTCAGACATTCGGCCCAGCAAGCTCTTAACCTGGTGCCAGCAGCAGACCGAGGGCTACCAGCACGTCAACGTCACCGACCTGACCACATCCTGGCGGAGTGGCCTGGCCCTGTGTGCCATCATCCACCGATTCCGGCCCGAGCTGATGTGAGTCCAGGGCCTCGCTGGACCTGCCAAGCTCCTCACAGCCCACAGGGACCCTGGAGTCAGGGGAAACCAGGGCTGTTCTGCTAGATGCAGAATTTTCAGAACTGGGTTCAAAATTTCCCTTTGCATATTTTCTATTTGAGTTTTTTCTTAAGTTTTTTTTCCTTTGCACAGATTTATCTGCCCACAACTCGTTTGATCTGTGTTCCTAATATGTGAGGAGCGGAGGTGACTCAGACTCAGTGGTTACACTTGTTCCCCACCCTTCCAACACCACACTTGGGAAATTTGAGCATTCCCACCATGGAGCTCTACCCTTAGACAAGAATTATGGGCAAAACCTAATTCTGGGGGAAAATGGGAAGGTTTACAGCCCAATTAATTAGAGTTGAGACCCAGATTAACTAGCCATGTACATTGGGCAAGCCACTTGTCTTCTCTGAGTTTGTTTCTTCACCTATAAGCTGGGAATACTGTCAGGTTCATTAGGAAGATTGAATCATGTCTGTGGAAATACCTCGTGATGTTGAAAGCACAGTGCATCTACTGATGTATTTAAATCAATGTGTGCAGTGTAACCTCACACCCACGAGCAAATGCATACAAGGGGTTGGAAGGAAATCTACCAAAGGGTTATCAATTGGTATCTTTACAGAGTGGGTTGCCTTGGAAAGGGGGGTGGGACTTTCACGTATCACTTTACATGTTATAAATATCTTGATTCTTTTTGACAAGAAGCCCATGTTAGTTTTGTAATGAAAAGAAACAGAATTTAAGGGAACTATTTAAAGGTAAAGTAGCTCATACATTTTCCAAAGTGGTGTAAATCATTTTCTGACTGTTTTCAGCCCTGGCGGCAATGACATTATTGTGGCCCAGATCTGACTTGGTCCCACCCTGATTGAGAAGGACGGTGTTAGCTTCTTGTGACTGAGCCTCCTGCAGAGTGGGAGCGGTCATTTGGGACATAGGCTGGGTCATTGCTCCTTCACCACTCCGCCCCCCATCACCACCACCTCTGCTTCCTCTCCCTGAATTTTACCTTGTTTTGATTCGCTAGCAACTTTGACTCTTTGAATGAAGATGACGCTGTGGAGAACAACCAGCTGGCATTTGACGTGGCTGAGCGTGAGTTTGGCATCCCCCCAGTGACCACGGGCAAGGAGATGGCGTCTGCCCAGGAGCCCGACAAGCTCAGCATGGTCATGTACCTCTCCAAGTTCTACGAGCTCTTCCGGGGCACCCCCCTGAGGCCCGTGGGTAAGAACCTGCTTTTGGACCAGGCTTCACTCTGCCCTTGCACCATTTTGCCCTGTGCCCATCTCTGGCTGCTCTTCACACTGGTGTCTTCTGTTCTGGGCTGACCCATGCCTTCCCCCTGACTTTGAGGTCAAACGGGTGGATCCCACCCACCTAGCCCTGTGTATGTAAGTGGGTCTGTGTGCAGGTGCCACATGACATTGGGGGTCTGCCCCTGACGTTGGGAGGTCTCTGATAGAGCTGCGCCAGTTCCCTACCCAGGCCATTTACATCTTTAGTTGAGGGGAGAGAATTGTTTTGGTGGGACCTTGTAGCAATGACACCCCTGATCCCTTGGGTAGTTGTGGCAGGATCCAAGTCTCAGACATACTTTTACTTCCTAACAGACTCTTGGGGCAAAAACTATGGAGAAAATGCTGACTTGGGCGTGGCCAAATCATCTCTTCCTCATAACTATCTCAACCTCACATTTCCAAGGAAGAGGACTCCACGAGTAAGTCTAGGCTTGTTGTTTATTTAATTTCTTTTTGCACATGGATGGGGCAAGGGTGTTGGAGAATGTCCTGGTCTTGGTCTGTGTCTGCTGATAAATTACACAGATAAAACTCTCACAAAAGACATGAGTAAAACTCAGTTTTGTAAGGGAGTGTTTTTGAAAGTCCCCCGGGCACTTCGTAGCTGGGCTAGCTTCAATGACTTAGAAGCAGTTATAGGAAGGTCCTGGTGGATCAGCTCAGCTTCCTGGAGGGTGAGAAGGAGACAATTTCTCACTTTGTTGAGCAGCTTATTTTGATCAGGAACACAGTAGCCATTGAGTGGCAGGGCTGTATGGTGATGCTACATTTACACATGCTGTTTTATTAATTTTTTTATTCGTTAAACAAATGTTTATTGGGCTATATTGTATGCTAACATTAGGGCTGAATTTTTTGTTTGTTTTTGAAGAGGGGAGAAAATATACAGAGATGAATAATATATGGTCCTTGCCTTTGAAGAGCTCAGAGCCTAATAAAGAGGTTCCCAAGCTTTCCTGACTTATGGCACCATTAGTGTCTCAGTAAACTTTTTCACAGTGCCCCTAGATCAAAAAAATACCTAGAAGTTCCATTTATTAAGTAGTTAAGTTCAAATAACTTAGTAGGGGTATTTTGCAAGATATACAACAGACTTCACCATGTTTCCTTAGAAAATTGAAAATATCCTGCGGCTCCTCTGTTGAGTTTACTCTGGTACCACAGGGTGCCTTGGTACACAGTTTGGGAACTGTGGGCCTAATGAGAATTTTATTTGAGGGATGGCATCTCTGTGGAAGGGATAATACAAGTTGTCTTGCTTGTTGTGCTCATTGTACAGATTTTTAAAAGGAGGCCCATTGCTGTTAGGTGGCAAGCACTGGCACAGGACTTGCCTTCCCTCCCAGTGCACATACAGCCCTCCCCTCACTCGGCACAGGGCTGCAGGCCTCTGCATGTCTCAGTCTCTCTAAGTTGCTGACAGTGTCTTAACCCCCGGCCAGTCATGCCATGCCCTGCCTTCCCTCCACCCAGGGTGGGGCTGGGGCCGTGTGGCCTCCCTCCTTTCTCTCAGCTGAGTGAGCAGTGGTCACTTTTTCCACTGAGGCCTGTGCTCCCTGGAATGTTGTAAGCAGTTATTGTGCTAACTGCAGGAGCAGCATAGGATACTTAATGCTCCACCACGCCCTGTCTGCAGGGAGGAATGGGCGAGCCAAGCTGGGGCTAGGGAGGAAGGTGTGCAGATCTGCCTGAGTTTTCAGCAGAGCGGCTGAAGGGCTGAGCTGCACCCAGCCTCTCAGTCCCGCTCTGCACCCCAAGATGCCCCATTCAGAGGCTCAGTGCGAGGGCTATGTCACCCACCGCATATCCCATGAGTGAAAGCTGTCCTCACCGCATGTCCCATGAGTGAGACCAGTCATGGGCTTGCTCCACCCCAGGCCAGTCGTGTTTCCTCTGAAGCCCAAGGACCCCACCGCTCTGGGCTGCCCCATCCAGGCAGCCATGCAGCCTTCTGGAAGCCCTCTGGCCAAGCATTCACCACCTTTCTCTGTTCACCTGGTTTCTCCCACCACATAGCCCACAACCAGGAATAGCAGAGGGAGCTGGAGAAGACGGGTTAAACCTTTCACTCACCACACCTCTGTTTACAGAGTGACGGAATTGAAACAGCCTGGCCAGGAGGTGGGAATGGTCAAAAGTCAGCAGTTAGCAAGGCCAGCCAGGCCCTCAGTGGCTACTGGTGCCTCGTTCCACTTTCCGCTGGCTCCACTAGGAAATGCAGGGGAACAGGTGTGAACTGTGCTCAGTCTCCTCGAGGGTATGCCCGTGGGCTGTCCATCTTGAGAGAAATGAAGAGCCACAGATCCAGTCCCTCCCACAGCCCCATCTAATGGCCCAAATCTGCCTTGCTCTTCGGATAGGTACAGAGATTATTAAGTCATTGCAGTATCTTATTTGTCCTCTCTTAAAACCGACTGAATGCCTCTTCTGGGTGGGATCGTGAGTTAGTAAGACCAGTTGTTGAGTTTTCTTCTCGGAGCCAGGAGCAGAGCAGTGAGGGAGACAAGCAAGGACCCTGCCCAAGGGAGCCGACCTTCTGGAGGGGCTTCTAAAGCCCCTCTCACTCCCTTTCCCCAACTATTCTCCCAGAACCACCCACCCAGCAGCCAAAACTCCTCACTAGCTTTCTAGTACTTCTCAATTCAGATATTTGAAGAATGTTTAGGAGAGTCGAGGGGACCAGGTCCTGATGCTGTCTGGCTCAGCAAGCACAGGGCCCGCGAGCAGCCCCCCGCACCTGTGGTTTGCAGGCCGATCTCTCCTGTTCTCTGTACAACCACAGCCTGAGCTGCTGGGCAATGCACGTTGAAGCCAGGCAGACACATACATATTTAGGTCTACTGGAGTTTCACATGTTTATACCTCTCAAGCAGTTCCTTGGCTTGTCTGTAAAATGATTATAATAACAAACATTGCATTGCTGTGAAAACACCATAAACAAATGTGTGCTACAGGTCTGAGCACATTCTTTGGCACGTGGAAGGGGCTCCATAAATGACAGGTCGTGCCCTTTGTAAGTACTGATTAAATAAAGATGTTTGTCTTCTGAAAAGATGAGTGAAACTAGTTGGATTGAACACTTGGTTTGGTACTGCAACCATGATCGGTGTAGCACTTTACAGCATACGAAGCAATTTCCTACATATCTTATTTGCCCCTCGCGTCACCTTCTGAGGAAAGCAGGGAATATATTCTCATTCCAGCTTTAGAGATGGGGAAACTTGGATATAGAGAGATTAAATTGCAATGTCATGTAGGTGGTGAATGTCAAAGTCAGAACAAAAATTCAGATTTTCTAATTTCTGCTAATTAGCATTAATCTAAGTGATGGTGTCTAACATGTATACAGTACCTTATATTGTAAGAAGTGTTTTACATATATGATTTTATTAATCCTGACAACATTTTATGAGGCAGAGAGTATAATAACTCATAGGTGAGGAAACTGAAGTCAGAGAAGTTAGGCGATTTTCCTAAGGTCACACAGCCAGGAAGTAATTAGTGTCAGAACTTGAACCCATAACTCCTTACTACTCTGCCACTGAAGAAGAATAGAACTCTCTTGCTAGGGTCACTGGCCATCTTTCTAAATCTCGTGGCGGCCACCCTACTCAACCAGGCCATTGCCTGCAATGGCCAGTCTCTCTTCCGGTGACCCAGATCTGAATTTCTCCAGGATTGGGTTATGCTAGCTAACTAAATATAAAGTTTGCTTTTGGCTAAAATCACATTAAGTCAGGCTGTATGGGAACATGGTTATTTTGTGCTAATCAAATGACCAGATTGGTAGATATATGTCTAAATTTTTTTTAAATGGAGATAACAATTGGTTTAATAAATGACTTTTGGTATGCAGAATCTTATAAATCATTGGAAAATCGTGATTAAAAAGTTCAGGTGAAAGGAATGGAAAAAAATTAATGGGAAAAGACAGGGAGTTATTGGTTTATTCTCACGCTCTGCCGGACTGGGCACAATAAGCATTTTCTGTCTCCTTGCACCTCAATTCTTTGTAGAACAAAATAGAGCCCAAGATGATGGGGCGCTGAGGCAACTTTAGCTCCCCATAGAGAGAGACAGATAAGAAAAAAATAGACAAATTTCTAGGTTTGTGTTTTCTGCACCTTTTTGTTTTAACCCAGATCTTAATTGAGAATCAGTGCTCCCATGACAAACCCATAAGGAAGAGTAGAGACCGATTCAGTATGCTGGTTGCCAGCCCCTCCGCATAGACCACATTCTACTGTCCCATGGGTCAAGCTGAAGCAAAGGAGCTGTGGCTGCCCCATGCACTTCCTTTATCCCCCTGAAGGATTTAGGGTCTTCTTAGGTGCCGCTACTGGATGCACTGCCCCCCAGGAATGCTTTCTGTGCGCTTGCGACTAACCCTGGGTTTGGATCTAGACAGGCTCTGGTCGTTGGAAAGGTCACACCTGGGGCTGTTGAATGCAAAAGAAAGAATAAGATGCGTTGCTCTTTGAGGGGAAACTCAAGTCCTCATTTAAGGTGGCAACAGAAAAACAACAGAAAACCTGAAGATGATGCACCACGCGTTCCTGCTGGGCAGGACAGCCTGTACTTTCACAGGCTCCAGTCCCAGGCCAGCGAGGCATTCACAGCCTGCGGAGCTCGGGGCTCAGACAGCCTGTGCCTCTAAGACCCAGCGTTGTTGCAATAAGGTCATCTGTTTCTCTTGGTGTTTGCCCAAGCGTTGGAGTTGAAATAATTTCCATTCACAGAATAATGATTTATTGGGAGCTGAGAAAAATGGAGGAGGGAAGGGAAGGCCCTTTGATCTGTTGTTTTTTGCTGCCTGGGCAAGGGAAGGGTCAAATTTTTAAGCAAATATCAATGACAAACTCTGGTTGATCTTATCTTTAAAAACATGAAAGGTTCTGGTAAATGCAGGGAGGGGTCGGGGGTAAGGGAGAGCAAGAACTGGGGAAGCAGGTGCTTTCTGTTGGAAGCCAGTGAGCACATAGCAGACTGTGCCAGGGACTCCATCCAGTGTTATTGTTATTGCTGTTACTATTATATAGTGTATTATCATCTATTATAATAATATACAAAATTATTAGTATTGTTCCAAACAACTGGGAGGTAAAAGGACCCTCTTGTGATTGGGAAAGTGTGGGATGTGTGGGGCTGATGGGGCTGCACACCCGGGTTGGAGGGGAGAGTGGTCAGCAGCCTGTGCTACTGCATCCAACATGGAACAAAGGCCAGGGTTTAATCTGGGCCTCCTGTGGAGGGCCTCTGAGCGTGAGGAGGCTCCCAGCAGGAGAGACACATAGTCCTGGGGTGATTCCATGTCCCCAGGGGGCTGACCGTTTGGAGAAGGCCCAGCGGGAGACTGGTGGTAGAGAGGCCTAACCTCAGTATCAACAATGGACTTACGCCCCCTGCCAGCGTGGCTCAGTGGTTGGGCATTGACCTCTGATCCAGGAGATCATGGTTCGATTCCCGGTCAGGGCACATGCCCAGTTGCAGGCTCGATCCACGGTAGGGGGCGTGCAGGGGGCAGCCGATCAATGACTCTCTCATCACTGATGTTTCTAGCTCTCTCCCTTCCTCTCTCTGAAATCAGTAAAGATATATTTAAAGAAACACACACAGAAGAATGGACTTACCCAGCAGTGTGCAGAGGAAGTACTAAATCCTGACCTCAAACCCAGCCCAGCCCATAGCATCAGCGCAACCTCTTCAGTTTCACTCATTCCTGAGACTTGAGCCTGACAATGGGTGGCCTTTGGTGGTCCTTGCAGAGGTGATGAGATGGGCTGGGGCAATACGAGTTTCTCTGGATGTAAATGTCCAGATTCGGGCAACAGTAAGACTGTAAAAGGGTATTGGTAGAGCAACCATGCAATTTATTGTCTAAAACAGGGTGCTTTTGACAGTGAAAGGAGGCACTATAATTAATTACGCCAGGGACAAAAAGCAATGAATCTAACTGTCCTGGGCAAACTGGGCTGTATACTCACTGCAGGGTTCACACAAAATCTGGTGCTTCTTTGAAGTTAAACGATATTGTGCGCTGGTAGCTGGGATGGTGAGTGGGTAGATGTAATTTGCCATCTACTCCCTGGCAGCTGCTCTGAGTCCCAAGGATCCTGCTTGTGCAGTGAGCCAGTGTGGCCTCTTTGTTGGAGGTGGTCTCCATAAGGCAGCACCCTGAGGGGCTTCAGTAGGCCTGGCTGTCACTGCCTGAGCCCAGAGTCCTGTTCACAATGGGACGATCCCTGCCATGTCCCAGGGAGTCTTTGCTTTGGGATGCTTCAGCACGATTTGAGGATACGATTCCCACCTCTTCACAGAAACTGGCTTCCCAAGTGGAATGAGGCTCCTTCCACTGCGCCGGAACAGAGCTCAGTGTAGCCTTGGTCACGGTGCAGGTAGTTTATGTCCCTCTGTCTCTTGGGCAGCAGGGCTGCGTGCCCAGTGCTGGCTCAGAGCTGTTAGTGGAACCTCGGTCCTTGACCAGCCTGAGCTCACCATGCTCTCTTGGCCGTTGCAGGTGGACAACCAAACCGAAGAGAATAATGACATGAACAAACGGAGGCGGAAAGGCTTCGGCAGCCTGCGTGAGGTTCGTGTGCAATGTCAGTTCCAACAAAGGCCCATTGCCTGACGGCCAGTAGCCGCAGGCCCTCCCGACTGTGGCAGCGGCCCTGGCCCTCCTTGCTTTCCTGTCTCAGGAAACATGCAGTTCCAAGCTTGACTTGATGGAAAAGCAGCCAGGTCCTGGTCCTTGCTCCAGTACTTACTAGCTGTGTGACCTTGAGAAACAAACTCCCAGGGTGGGGCCCATGTCTGTAAAATACACAGGATACATGTGAAATGTATGAAACGTGCAAGTATTTTTAAAGATTATATAGAAGATGTTATACATATATAATCGCTATTAATAATGAGTAGTGAAGAGGCACCAGCTGTCCCACTTTTCTCCCAGCCATTGTTTCTACCTTTTGTGTTTTCTGCACTGTCTTTAAGGCCAATGTCCCAGTACAAGTGCCACCTTCTGGTGACAGGAGAAAATTACAAGCTACTTTGTCAAAACCAGGCAAGAATCTCTCTCCTGCTACTGAAAAATTGATCAGCAGGAAAAGTATCAGTTCCACTACCCCAGACAGCTCTTTAAAGAGACCTGAGATATGCCCTTCATTTGAAAAGGCAGTTCTAGTCCCACAAATGCAAGCCCAGATGTGGTCTGTGAACTGTAGAATGCCGGCTCTAGCTAGCCCAACGGCCGATGTCATAATTATGACATAGACGCATGTGGGATAGTTTATATGGTACATTGATACCGAGTTATAAGCCTTAGGAAGGACTTCCACCTGATATGTTTGAAGAGGTTTTATTGCTGTATATTTTTATGACATTGTTGTTCATGTCTGTGACTTGCTTCATGTGGAAGCCTTGACCTGGGTCAGGACACTGGTTCTCACAGCTGAACTTTGTAACAAATAGAGCCACGAGGCCAGCCTTAGGGGAGAGGGGAGCTGCCTATTGCTCAACCCATTTTCTGGGACGTTCAAAGGGAAGCGCTGATAGAGAAAGCCTGGAGTTCAAGTCATGTCTTAAAATGTGCACGAACTCATTTTATCCAGTGAGTTCCAATCACCTTGTCCGAACCTTTTCTAAGACTTCTTTGGGTGATCCCTTCAAGAGCTGCTGCTCCCTGTCTCTTGGCTCTGGTGTGAGCCAGCAAATAGGGAGATAACTGAGAGGAGGGAGCAGAGGCTGACTGACAGGGCAGGAGAGACGTCCATTTCCCACTGTGGGTGTTGGCTCTCACCTGACGTGCCTAGGATTTGCTCTGGCCTCCATCTAAGAGGCTTCCCTTGCATGCACTTTGTCTCTGGCAGACACCTTCTCCTGCCTCTCATCCGGGGCTTATTTGAGGGGGCATTTGTGCTCTTTCTGTTGAAGGCAGCATAAGAGTGAAGTGTGGAAAGAAATCTGGTTGCACCTGCCCCTTCTGAGATGACTCTGGGCTGTTTTCTGGGACAGCTTTTTTGCTCCCAAGTCAGATTTAACCAAACAATAGTTCTTTCTCAATTCTCCCTACTCAAAATGTGGGCCAAGAACCAGACAACTGGTTAAAAATGCAGAGCCTCAAGGCCGACCCTGGACCAACTGAACCTCAGCCTGCTTTTGAAGGAGCCTCTGGTGATTCACGTCTGGGAAGTGCTGTCTGCATGGCCGACTCTGACCTTGTTCAAACAGTGACTACCCCAGTAAACTCACCCTCTTTGCACTCAAAGCTGTATTGCTATGCAGAGTTGCATTTCCCACTTTGAAGTGGGAGTGACTCTGGTTTGTGTTTGTCCAACACTTCAGGGTGGCTATGCATACAAGGTTTCCCATGGGGCTGCGGATCTTTAAAAAACAGCTGACTGTAGCTTGCTGCTTCCCATGAATCTCTTTGTTGTCTTGAGAACATCTATTTCTGGGAGGGAGACTCGTTGTTTCCTTGGGGAAGCAGGCTGCCCACCGGACATGACAGTGCCATTTACACCTCAAGTCCTTTGGGAGCAGATCCTATGGAAAGGGAGGACATTCAGAGAACACTGGTAATTTCCCAAGTTTTATTTTTAGCAAATGAGCTAAAGGAACCTTACATGGAACTCCATTTTATAAAACAGCATAATCAAATGATTACAGCAACATCTTACCAGGCATTAGTCACGCTGGTATCGTGTTCCCTGATATAAAGCAATGGAGCAGAGGAGCACTTCACCTCTGCGGCACCTTCTCCAAAATCCATAACCCCGGTCTAACCACGAGAAAACATCAGAGCAACCCAGATTAGGGGACTTTGTGCACAATAGCTGACCAGCCCCCTTCAAAACTGTCAAAGTCTAAAAGACAAAGAAAGGTGGAGAAACTATTACAGATGGAAGGAAACTAAGGAGAAATAATGACTTAATTCAATGTAGGATCCTGGATTGTATCCTGGAACCAAATAAGGACAAGTGTGGAAAACCTGGCTGATCAGGTTTTCCTGATCAAGTCTATAGCTAATAGTGTCATGTCAGTGTTAATTTATTAGTTATGATAACAGTATCATGATTACTCCAGATGTTAACATTACCTGCAGCTGAGTGAAGTATACAGTATACAGAAACCATCTGTGCTCTTTGTAACTTTTCTGCAAATCTAAAATTATTTCACAATTAAAAGTTGGTTTTAAAAGATAGCAGCAAAGGAGCAGGACAGGTTGAAGTTGGGAATGGGGTGCAGAGGAGGAAGGAGAAAGAAGCCCAAAGCCTGGGCCTGACTGCCACCCCTCTTGTTTTCTTCATCCCCACTACTGTTTACCTCTTGGAAGCCACAGGATAGATTTTGAAATGATCCTGCTTACCACTTCATTATTATATTTGATTTTTTGTGTGTGTGTGACAACCATGTGAAATGGGATATGCTCCCACTTTACAGATGAGGAAACTTTAGGGAAGTTCATTGCCAAGGTCACTGGGCTGGGAAGTGAAAGAGTCAGGATTCAAACCCTAGCTCTCTGGCTCCCAAGCCTGGGTGTGCCCATCTTTGGGAAGACACATCCCTCCCATGAGCATTGTCTCCACTTGGGCATCGCCTGCTGCTTGTGTCTCACTTCCTGAGACCATGAAGGGTCTCCTTCAGGAAATTAGTTCCATGTCCTCAGCCCTCAGACCCCCTCCCTGGGTTCTGGGACCCAACAACCAATGCACTGATTTGCACTTTGCAGCGTTCAGCTTTTTCCAGCCAGAGTTTGGGCTCCAGTCAAGAGGACAGCAGCAGTAAAGAAGGTGGAAATCAGAACAAAGTCAAGTCCATGGCAAGTCAGCTGCTGGCCAAGTTTGAGGAGAACTCTCAGAAGCCTTCGCTCCAGAAGCAGGTGAGTCCCGTCACATGCTCACTGGACCTGCCTTCTTGGTGACCAGAACTGAGAAGCCAGCAGAAATGGTCAGGCTGGTGACAAATTTCAGGTCTGCCAGCCAGGCCTGGCTCAAGTGAGCCTTCTAGACCAGGAGTCAGCAGAATATTCTAAAAGGGGCCAGATAGCCAATGCTTTAGGCTTTGGGGGGGCCATCTGATCTCTCTTGCAATTACTCAGCTCTGCTATTGTAGCAAGAAAACAGCCATAGACAATACTTAAACAAATGTACATGGCTGTGTTCCAATAAAACTTTATTTACAAAACAGCCAGCAGGTCCGATTTGGCCCAAGGACCATAGTTTGCCATGCCTGCTCTGCAGTAAAGAAGAAATCCTTCCCCTAATTTGGTTTCACTTTGCAACCATGACTTGGTTTGCAGCCACGTGAGATGGTGCAGCTGGAGGAAGCTTTAGAGGTGCTGGCTCCTGGGAGAGCACTAAGTCCATGGTGAGAAGACCCATCAAACAAGGGGAAACTGAGTCACCAGCCTTAGCTCCATGTGGGCTGCAGGAATGGGGACCAACCTCCCAAGTGTTGTGGTGCCCCCTCTCCCTGTTCCCTCGGGTCAGGTTGGCAGGGCTGTGCGTCTGACCAGGGTCAGGGTGAGGCTGAAGGTGGTCAGAGCTGTGGGCAGGAAGCAGGCTGAGTTGACTTCTCTTGGACTCTGGCTTGGGGTCTGTGATGCCGGGTTCAGTCTGCTCCCCTAAAGTCCTCTGGGGTGCCACTGTCACATCACCAAAACTTGGGACAAAGGGGTTGGTTTTTCTTCGGAGCACGGGTGTTGATGATAGAGTTTGGCTCGTCTCAGGAAGGCAGATACCAGGTTAGTTAGGTCTTACAGGTGATCACAGATGTCCTCCTGGCCTTGACACGAGCCACGCCCCTTCCAGACAAACTGACCTTCCCCGAAAACCAGGCTTTAGCATAAGGGGGTCATTTTCCTGAAACTTGTCATTCCGAATTCTTCTCTCAATAGCCCCTTCTGGAGGCTTGGTCCCTTGCAGCCCCCGAGTGTTGCTGAAGCTGTCTTCCATCAGGACTGCAGCACCCGCCTGTCCTCTAGTAGGCAGGAAGCTTTTCCGTTTGTAGGAGGACCCCGGGGCCAGCCACCCTGGCCTGACATGGGCTCTGGCAGGGCCTGTCCAGTGCCCCAGGTCTGAGCCAACAGCAAGGCCTCCCTGAATTCACACGTTGTCCCAAAGGAGGGGACTCCAGGACTTGCTGTCCGCCTGGGCAGAGAGCCAGGGTTCAGGTTTCCTGGCAGGGCACAGCCTGAGCTCTGCCCAGTGCTCCCACTCTCTCTGTACCTGAAAACTCTCGCTCCTGCCTCCCTTCCTCTGCTCCCTCCAAGCGTCTCACTCTGACTCAACCTTTTCCTTCACGCTTCCTGCGGCTGCTTTTTTGGACTCACCTTCCTCCTCCCAGGAACGCCGTGTCTCAGGGGTAGGTATGCCTGTCCTGCGCTCATCCTCTGACCCTCCTGTTAACTCTCGCTGTCTCAAGCCAGAAGAGGCCACAACCAGCCCATCACCTCCTCTGAAAAGGCAGGTAGGGCTCCTCCCAGTGGATGGGGTCTTGGTGAAGCCAGAGGGGACACTGATGCAGAGGGGTGGGCTCAGTCAGCCCTCTGCACACCCCAAATAGGGCTGATTGTAAGTTCTCTGGGAAGGCAGACACAACATGCGGTCCCCACCCTTATAGGTAAGAATAACCAAATATGCAGCATCTTGAAACATGCCATTGGTCCTTCAGCCAGTCAGAGGTATTGGCTGACCAGCTGCTGTGCTCTTGGTGCTCTGCTTTTTTGGTCTATGGTCTGTTTTTTCTGGTATCCCTGGAACACAGCTTTAAGTGCAGACCACTTAAACAAGCTGATTTATAAATTGATGAAAAAGTGACAGTGATAGTGGAATGGGCTTAGGTGGCCACTTGGCTGCACGCAGTAAGGGGGAAGGCTGGAATGTGGTGCAGGCCTCCCCTGGTGCCCGAGTAGACGAGGCCCTGCTTGGTGCTCCGGGCGGCAGCAGCGGACCGTGGCTTTTCCCAGCCAGCATCTCTGGGTTTGGAATTTGAACAGAATCACTGTTACTGACCACAGCATTCAGACTTGCTGGTCAGCATGATAAATTTTATGTTGCTTCTGGGCAGTAGAGGTTGAATGAGTTCAGTGTGGGTATGAAGCAAAGATTTTTGTCTGAGTGTACAAGAATTACCTAAAGAGCAATTTATTTTTTTCGATTAAAAAAAGAGGGGATATTAAAAACAAACAAACCTCTGGTGCCCACCCCAAGACCAATTAAATCAGAATCTCTGGAAGTCAGGCCCAGTCTTGGGTTGTTAGTTAAAGTGCCCTAGGTGATGGTCAATGTGCATCTAGGGTTGAGAACCGGGGTTGTGCAGGTTTTGATTTGGTGAGTCCCGAGGGAGGCCCAGCACTATGTTGCTAAGGAGGATATCAGATATATATATAATGTTATTAACCAATGTTAACCCAAAAAATTTAATTTAAAGAGAAAATGGGGAAAAAAAATAAAAATAAAGAAAAGGAGAGATCAGGTGATTCTGATGCAGGTGGTGGAACATCAATGCCAGCTTAGTTTGGCATCTTACTCAGGGTGGCACCTGTTGTGCCCTTAGTCCCTGGTCCTCATGGGGAGCTATGAAAGGGCCATAGTAGGGAAGGAAACTTGATTTCCCTTCTCTCCAGTTCCCCTCTGGGGTTGTGCCGGGGCACGTGCTCCGAGAGATAAACCAAGTGTCTGCTGGTGGAGAGTGCCCGAGCCGGCCCTGGAGAGCCAGAGCCAAGTCTGATCTGCAGCTGGGTGGGCCAGAAAACCGCGCTGCCCTGCCTCCTGCCTGCCAGGAAGCACTGGCCCTGTCCGGGGTGCTGCGGCGGCTGCAGCTGGTGGAGGAGAAGATTCTCCAGGTGACAGCCTCGCCCTTTGCCCTGCCTCTGCCTGGGTCTGGGGTGCCTTCCATTCCCCCTACCTCCACCTGCCCTGGGTGGGCTCCTGCTCTTGCTGTTTGTGCCCTGTCCCCCATCCTGTGTGTAGTGAGACAAGCCTGTCTGACTGCCTTCCACATCCCACCATCCCTGTCTCTGTCACTGTCTTTTTCCTTTCTCCCTTCTCACCTTGACTGCAGAAGAGGGCTCAGAACTTGGCCAACAGGGAATTTCACAAAAAGAATATTAAGGAGAAGGCAGCCCACCTGGCCTCCATGTTTGGACACGGGAATTTCCCACAGGTAAACGGGGGGCTTTCAGAGCCCCTGGAACCCGGGCGTTGGACATCCAGTGAGGTGACTGTGAATCAGTCTCTGGAGTTCCATTTCCTCCTTCCTCCTGCTTTTGTAGCACGAGGCACGATTCATTTTTTAAGCCACTGAAGAATTCAAGGTGCCATCTAAAAAAGATGCAAATGAGAGCATTCAAAATAAGTAGATAGATCAGGACAAAGGGAAAGCCAAGGCAGAGAAGTGAGCTCAGATCAAAGGCAAACGTTACTGAACAGAAACACAGGCTGTTTGATCCTACACAGCTTCTGAGTAGGCCCTGAGCTTCCTAAGGGCCAACGCAAAGAGGAAAAGCTGGTCAGTGCAAGAATTACGTCACAGAGCCTTTAAGGTGAAAGCAAACCAGTTGTTCGTGATGTTTGGGACATGATGGAGAAATCTCCCCACGGCCTCAGTCACGGAGACACCGAGGAGGAGAGGTCAACCACAGGCTGGAACCTGCGCTCTGCTTTCCCAAAGGCAGCACGGAGCCCAGGAGAACAGCTTTGCCTTAGAATACAAAGCACAGCCCCCTCCAAGCCAGATGCTCATTTAGAAACTTGCTAAAGAGAAGACATGTGCTGGCAAGGAGATAAAAAAATTGATATGAGACCTCACAGTGCGTGTATGCATAAGATGCTCTCTTGCAGCAAACTTAGTCTCTAGAACATTCCTCCATTGATGCTCTCACTCAGTCTCCTCCATACCTGTGTCCTCTGCTACTCAGCTCAATGGGAAAGAGGCTTTTCATTTTTAGGTGCCAGGAGGCTGGCACAGTTGTCTGCAGCTGCAGAGGCCCCTGCCAGGGCCATCTGCCCCAAAGTAGCCCAGGACTCTCCTTTCCTAAGCTTGCACCTGCCACTTTATACCAAGCTCTTGAGTGAGGACTTTAGGACTTAGCGCTGGTGTCTTGGCTGACATAGGCAGGAGCCGAATGGACCTGCTCCAGCTGTTATAGGGTGGCAAGGGAGTTGGAATAGTTGTAGCAGGAAATGCAACCAGGAGCCAGATAGTCCTGGTGGGCCCCAGAAACAAAGGCCTCTGCTTTGTCCTGAGATGCGGGCCTGCATGTCTTTTCCCCTCCTCTGCTGCGTCGGCATGGGGATGCATCGAGGTGAGCATCCCTGTGCCTTGCCTGGGATAATCAGTTTCCTCTGTTTCTGTTCTATGCAGAATAAACTACTCTCTAAAGGCCTGTCTCCCACTCATCCTCCGTCTTCTCCCTCCTGCCTTCCGTCTCCTGATCCAGCTGCCACTTCCTCTCCGTCGGCTGCTGACTCTGTTTCTCCTGCCAAAAAGGTAGTTGTCCTGAACGATTAGCTCCCCCACTCCCTGCATGTTCTGAGATGTCCTCCTGCTCCTCTCGACCTGCACAGGCAAACAGCTGGAGCTCGGCTTGGCTGAGACAAAAATCTGTAAGATACTTCCCAACAGTCCCAGGTTTGGTTTTTGGTTTTTGTTTTTGTGTTGGACCCAGCAACATAGCGGAACACAAAAACTCACTAACACTGCTCATTCATCCAGCAGGCATTAATTGGGCACCCGCTCTATGCCAACCACTGGGCCAGGTGCTGGGGAAATAAAGAGGGTTCTCTTACTACAGTTTAGATGCTAAACAGCACATTAGAATAGAAATAAGTAACTTTTTACCATATGAAATTGCCGATACTTGACTGGTTTTGACCCAACAAAATGGCATTTTTACGTGGCAAACCTCATATAATACTATGCATCAATTCTATGAGAAGTATAAAAGGCAAGATTGTAGGAACCCAGAGGGTAGAGGCCTGAAGGATTCAGAGGAGGAAACATGGGGGCTGAGTGTTGAAGGTTATACAGCAGGATTTGCTGGAGGAAAGCGTAGGGGGAGGGTATTTTTGGAAGGGCCCGGCATGTGCAAAGGAAGGCAGACAGGACCTGCATGGACGGAAGGTGAGAAGTCTGGTGTGACTTGAACTAGGGGATAAAAGGATTCATGGGGGTGCAGAGGATGAGTATGAAAGTGAGCCCACTCCTTTCGTGTTAAGGAATTTCATTGTATCTCTTACAAAGAGCCACTGAAGGCCCTTCTCCGTGTTCCAGAAGGATGGCTCAGCAGCAGTGCAGAGGTCGGCTGGGAGGGGGGGGAGCTAACCCTGCTTAAGTGGGTAGTGAAATGCACCATGGGCAACTGTTAAAGGTGGGCTCTGGGCGCTTTTCATGTTGCCCCTTGCCCTCCTATTACTAATATGCTGAGGACACTACCAGGCTGGGAGGGAGAGGGGCAGCCTTCGGAGAAGTTTGGCCGTGGAGTGGATGAGCCTAAAAGCAGACATGAAGCCCACTTTTTTAGCTGTTGCACATGGGAGTGGCTTTGGAGTCTCTTCCCTGCAGACTGTGCTCCTCTGAACACATCCAGCCTGCGTAGCTGCCACCTAGCTCGGTGGGCAGGGCTGAACGTCCCCATCAGAGCTGCTGCTCATTTGCTTCCGAGCCGTTAGGCTGATGCACAAACCAGCTCCCTGCCGTCACATCAGTGGAACGTTAGGAGTTGCCTCCTTGTGTGTAGCTGGGGGTTCTACCTCCTTTCATCCCCACCACTGTGGGAAGAAGGGTGCAGGTAGGGTCTCCAAGAAAGGAACAAGGAATCTTATCAGCCCCACCTCTTCCACGGTCCCCAACGTGGTAAAACACATCCCTGGCAGGGCAGCAGGAGGTGACGTGGAGAAACACAAACACGCTCTGTCTTCAAGTCCGTTTAAAGCAGCCAAGGCTGAGATGCCCGCACCTTGTCCCAGGTCAGCCTTGGGTCAGTTGTTTGACCTTAAGTCTCCTGACATGTCTGGGCCTCCACTTTCTCATCAACAAGAGAGTGATTCCTGGCTCACATGAGAGAGAGCTATATGAGTGGACACTGGCATTTTTTGTCATCACCCTCACGAAAAGGCTTCAGAGTAGCCTTTTTGCCCTTCCCTGGGGAGTACTTCCTTCTGTGGAAAAAGGCCATCATCACCCTCGACAGGATGATAAAGGCAAGAGCACTTGGGCACAGACAGGCAGTGGCTCATGGTCCTGGCTGGGCGGCCAGCCCGCCCCTTGCTTGTCTCTGGCCCAGCCCCTCTCTGGCTGGTCCTGGTCAAGGCCCTCTCTGGTCCCTGCTTTTCTTTTTACCTCAGGACAGCCTGGCTGGGTCACTGCCCTGTCAGGGCTGAGGGCGGAGCCACCTCACTCCCCAACTTTCCCTGACATGGGTGCCAGTAGGTATTCATTCTCTAGGTGGTGGCCTGCCCAGGTGCATGTGGGGCCTCCGGGGTGTGACAGACACTTGTCAGTAGGCATATCTCCTGTCACATCATCATCACACATCACCACAGGAGGCCCAGGCTGCCGCTTCTCCAGTGGGCTCTTCAAACAGCTTCAAACCAATGGCACTCAGGAAATCAGTGAGTCAACATTCATTCATTTGACAAATATTTGAGTGACAGCTTTGGTGTCAGGCGTTTCAGGCTCTTGGGATGCGCATCAATGAACAGGAGTTATGTCCCTGCCCTGATGGGACTTGCCTCCTACTAGGGGGAAATAACCAACAATAATATGATGTAGAAGTAAAGTATGTAATATGTCAGAAGATAAGATGTTACTTCCTATGGAAAAATTAGCAGATAGCAGGGACTTGGCGTATAAGGGAAGGGTAGCAATTGTAATGGCGTAACAGGAGGTTCTTCCTGGGAAAGAACAAACTGAGCAGGAACCACAGAACAGAAAACAAAGATACAGGAAGAAGGCTAGTGCCCAGGGCTCCTGACTCCAGCCCGGTATTCTCTCCTCTGTACGGTGGAGGCCTCCTCAGAGGGAGCAGCCCAGAGGCTGTGTCCATGCAGAGCTCACACAGGGAGGGCTGCAGATGGGGTGGACTTTGGGATGGCCAACCCCAGGTTCCCTCTACAGCTTTGTTCCTTGTTTCTCCCAGGTACACTAGAACAATCACCCCTGTTTTTCTTATCCCATCTCCTAAGCTAACCTTGGCCATCAAGTGATGGTGTAATTGGGCTTTTTTAATGTACCTTCACAAAAGTGTGTCTGGGAATGATAGGGGAGCTCTTAGAAAGGGCCCCCAGGCAAGTCACTTACCCTCTCTGTGCTTTAGTTTCTCCATTTGTAAAAAGGACCAGGTTGGGCCTGACACCCATGGATCCCCCCAGATCTCACTGTGAAGCCATTGTAGGCACTTAGGGACAGAGTGGTGAGTTTCTCGGAGAGGATATTACCAGTTGCACTGGCAACCCCCATCCCCCTGACCACACCCCGCCATTGATTCAGCACTGGGTTGTGCACATGCAGAATCCGACAGTGACCATCTCCTTGGAGAAGAGAATCAGCTGCCCCTTAAAGTAGGTGACAGCTCAGGGATAAACAACTTTCTTCAGTTGGTGGAGCTCAGGGAGCCTCCCTCCTGGAGAGAGCCTGGAGCCTTAATGCTTCTTCCAACAGATTATGGGCTGCCCTCATCACCCAGTGACCCAAGTTTGCCTCAACTCAGGGGAGCCAGAGGAAGGAAAATGTACTTGAAAACTGATCGTAAGCCCTTGGCCACCTCCTGGCAGGCAGCCTGTTTCTGCTCCTACCCTAGAGCCCCATGCAATTCTAAGGATCTGAGGATGATCACCTTCTCTTGAGAACAGACTTGACTGGCCAGGCCATGAGGAGTATATGTTACTCACGGGGACAGAAACCTGGGTCACTGACTCAGCCTTCAGACTACACTTGCCCACCCTCTCAGACTGATGGTCTGCCTTAGGTTTCTAAGTGACCCTGATGGGGTTTTTTTGTGTGTGTTTGTTAGTTTGGGCCTGAAAAGTTACAGAGGATCTTGAAATCTTCTCCTTCAGGACCCAGATTCTTACCCCAGAGTCTTGTCTTCAAGACCTTAGACTATGGAATTATGTACAGTCTTATGTCCTCAGCAGCACTGGACTCATCCATCCCATCAAACCAGCCCACCTGTGGTGGTATCAGCCCCGTCTCACCCATTAGCTAACTTCTTTATTTAAGAAGGGAAGCCACTGCCCATTGGCCTCTGCCCTGGCTACTGGCCATGTGCAAGGCTGCTGAGCTATGGTAAGAACAAGATGGCTGAGTGTTTGCACAGCTGAGCAAGGGGGATGGCCTCACTGGCCTAGAGGCTGGGGCTTAGTCTTGCTGGGTCATAGAGCAATGCGTATTGCAAAAGGAGCTTTCTCTACCCTTGTGGGTGTTTGCTTTGAAACTGGATTTGCAGGGTTTACTCTAGAGATTTGCATGTTAAAGGGAAGCTGGGCAGTCTCAGGTGGCAATCTGCCTTTGTCTCATCTGATACAGGGTAGATCTCAAGCTTCCTCCAACCTCATTGTCCTCTCTGTCCCAGGGATACAGCTGGGCAGCTCTTTGGATGTGTCCTACATGCATTCCAGCCAGGGGATTTTACTGGGCAGAGTGCTGGTGTGTCTCAAGGAGGCAGAGTGCTAGAGGGAGAAGGTTATGGGCTTGGAGTCACACTTGGAGTCCTAGCACCAGTTCCTGCGCGACCTTGGACAAGCCAGTGGACCTCTCAGTGCCTTAGTTTCCTAACCTATAGAGTGGAGAGGAGAGCAGCTACTCCTAAGGGTGACTGGAATGATGCAATGACCTAGCCTGTGTCAAAAATGCCTGACATATGCAGTAAATGTGCTCTTTCCCAAGTGGAGGAGAATTCTAGAAGGAAGCTCATTTACCTAAAATGCATGCTGATTCCTCTCGTTCTAAATGCAAAGAAGTCACCTTCAGGCTTCCATTTCCATCCCAGCCACTTAGGAACAGTGAGGCGGCAGCTGAGTTAGAGACTCCCTGAACCTCAGCTGCCCTGGCTGTGAAGGGAGTTATAAGGCCCACCACACAGGCCATGAAGGTCAAATGCATATGATGAACAGCACGGTGCCTGGCACCAGGGCACAAAGGCGCAGATATGGGCTCCCACGGTGGGAGGGAGGAGAGGAGGTGTCACAGCCCCAATAGCCTGCCTGTGTCCAGATCTGAGCGTGTAAGATCCAGACTCCTTTGAACAAAGGGGTTTCGATCCTTGACCTCCCTTTCCCCTACCCTGGGCATATGGCTGAGGGCTCAGGTCCACCAGCCTGTTCTCTGATGTTTCTCAGGCAGGGACTCCTCAGTGAGGAGTGTTGTTGCCCAACAGGCCCAGGAGATGTTTTCTGGCCCTGCCTGTGGAAACCTCCCGCTCTGGTGACCCCCCAGCTCTGAGGCCCTGGGAACTTCACTCTCACCCCTGCCTGACCCTGGGCTTTATG